GGCGTTATATTTCCTATTATCTTATATAAAATGTTGAGGGGCTTTGTCTGTCTGAATAAATAATCCCACGCTCCACTGTGACTGCGCGAAGATCTAAATAAAGACCTATTCACTACTTGTTTGGTTTCTTTTATCAATAGCACGAGGGTTACCTAGAGGCACGAAAGTTCAACATAGTTATCTCATATTTCATTCGGTTGCATCTTTGACCGCTATCGTCGCTAGGTCTTCCAAGTATTTCTGCTTGTCGGCCCTAGTGTTCCTCTTCACTTGCTTGTTCGCTTCTGTGTATTCAGTTTTTGCACTTACTTTCTCCGTTCTCGTTCGACTGTTGTTAATTGGTGTCTTCTTGTTCTTCTTTTATTGAATCTTGTCCAGTGTTTCGATTGAGGTCCATTGATTATGATGATGCTTACTGCATTCCAGCACCTCCTGACACGTTGAAGTAAGTGCTTCTTTGATCGCTTTCAATTTTTTCTTCACAGTATTTTCTTCTTTCAGGAGATCTTGTAGGTATTGAAACCTGGTGTTGAGAGTTATCTTGAATCGATTGAACTTGTTAGTGTTTGGAAGGCTATACTGAACCTTTGTATTGCCGTTTATCCTGTTGTTCAACGCTTCTTTAGCTTCAGTTTCATCTTGGCGACCAACAGTTGGTGGTCTGAAATTATTTCAGTTCTTCTCTTTGTTCTAACGTCTTCCAATAACCTTGTGAACTTTTTTACTGATACAAATATGATCTGTCTGGTTTTCTGTGGTGTGGTCTAGTGAGACTCATGTAGCTTTGTGTGTGTGTTTGTGAATGCTACTTGTAAGCTGCTCTCTGAGATGTAGTGTGGCGTCAAGTCGCGGTTGACTACGGTCACCACTACAGGAAGACTACGTGCCAGTTACCAGGTTAAATCCATCTGTAGACCAAATATCAGAAGGCAAATAAAGTTTGAGGTGAGATGTATTTGTTGGCGATCTCGTGGTATTGACAGAATACTGAGATCGTGCTAAAGGTCACAAGCGGGACTACTGAGCGTAAGCGAGCCCGTGCAAGGTCATAGATAACGAAAGAATGTATATTTTTTAGTACACTTAAACAAACGGGCACAGTTGTTTATATTGATGATTGTTTCAATTATAACAATCGCGTTCTCTTCATAAAGTAGGTCACTACATAGATAACAAACACAAATAAGTTCACCTGATTAACAAAGGTTCCTCTACACGTGCTGACACCAACGGCGTAATGAGAAAGATTAAATCTTATAGCATTGTTTGATAATGATCCGGGCTCAAACTCCGACGTAGTGTGGGGAGACTTGAAAGGATGTTATGACACTATTATTACCTTTACTCAAAGGCCGTGGTCAATGAAGCAGAAGAACAGATGGCGGAGATTGCGTTTCTTTTTCAACAATCGTGGTAGTGCGTGTGCATGTAACCAAAGCTGCAATTAGACGCAACCCAATTTCGTAAATGTGCCCTTCAGCTTAGCAACCAATGAGAATGGGGCGGGAATTATTATATCCGCCATCTCTGTAAGCAATAGCGGTCGGCTTTCTTCATTCTGTGCTTTTTAAAGCTGTTTCGCTTGTGTAACTATGTAATTTAATGTTTCAGTGTGCTAAAATGCCGCAGTTAGTGTAATGTTCTATATGTCGGTGTGAAATTTACTTCGAATCAGCCTTGTTTTTTGGGTTTTTGCTGCTTCATGGGATTTTTAGCAGCACTGTAGTAATATTCTCACTAAAGCGCTGAGTGCGTAGACCAATGTAAGGTACCATACAGGGTGCTTTTGAGTTACTCGTGTTCCATTAGTGTCGTTGGAGGCATTACTTGCTTATCATATGACATTTGAATAAGAAGCTATGAGATTAGACGCAGGGACGGTTAGGATGTGTAACGCGTGTCCATCCATCAGCTGCCGTGGCAGCTCATGGTGGCTAGAATAAGTTGTGAAAAGACTCGAGTCTGTAGGTTTCCCAATAAAATGACGAAGATATGCACCAAATCACCCTATGAAGAGCGCCTTCAATCACTCAACCTCTACCCATTAGAGTATAGACGTCTTAGAGGTGACCTTCTAATGGCTTACAGTATCCTTAACACTTCTGGACATTCTCTTAAACACCTACTTAAGCTTAGTCTCAACACTAACCTAAAGGGTAACACCCAGAAACTAGAGACACAACATAGCAGGACGGAATGTAGACGCAACTTCTACTCCTTAGGAGTTATGAAATGCTGGAATTCGCTGCCGGCCGAGCTAGTCCAAGCGACTTCCCAGGAGTCATTCGAGAGGCAACTGGGTCTATTCTTAAGGATTAAGGATAGTATCATACTATGATTTACCAATTTCTTTCTCCTCTTTTACTGTTAACATACCTAGGTTCCTGCCTGGAGGATTTGGTGATCCCCTGTTACTAGACACGGAAGCCTGTTAAGCGAAAGCTTCTATTCAGTCCACAACCATTTGAACACATGAACTAGGTGCTGAGAGGCTCGCTTATCACAAGTATCTTGCAACGATTAAGTAGATAAAACAAAGTAGCATTAGATTCAAAAATTTATTCAAGAACTTCCATTAAGAATCGAATAGCAAACAAAGGTTTAAACTAAGTTCCCGTTTAAAAGTTGTATTGGTAATGTTGAGCCGCAGTTTTTGTTGTTTATTTCCAAACGAAAGAGTAAAAGAAGTCAAAAAATACTGGAAGTGGTTGTGAGACTAAAATGGGCGTTAGTTGGGTCTCCCGTAAACAGTTCCATAGGGCCATAGTTCTAAGGCGAAACAGTTTTTAGGATCTGTGAAGACTCACTCCTGTTGCATTCTAAATGAAAAAGTAGTGATGAATTTAGTCAGAAATGTGGAATAGATAGATAACCAAATTACATGTTTTTTAGCAAAGAATTTATGCAGTTGTGATTTACCTTGAGTTCATGAATATTAGGTCAGGTCAGCTACTATTACTTGTGCAAAGCGTAACATGGGCTTAGTACCGTATTGCAATGTATTTATTATTTTGCTCCCATTTAAGTATTCCCATGCATCTGCGTCTAGTTTAACAGGAAGACATAAAAGCAGAGTTAGTGTCTGATAAACTAAAAGTCCCAGTTGTCAAAAAGATTCTTAACATTTGTCCACAGCCAGCTGCATTTAATTGAGGCACAGAACACTCATCTTCTAAGACTGTGTACTGCTGTTATGTGGGCAAATAAAACCTCAGACGCTTAGCTATCTTGCTACCGATGTTATTGCTGGGGAAATTGTTCAATGACAGTGATCATGAAATTTGGTCAGTGATAGATGTACAGTCTAGAAATAAACAACAAACATACTTATCGCTATCTTATAATGTATGACAGCAACAGCATCAAAGGCACGGTTTTTCCTATTTTTAATCAGACTGGTCTGAATCGGTATACTCATTAAAAACAGGCAGCTATACTTACTAAACTGATCTGTTTCGTTACAGGCTTCAAGCACTATACTTAGGTATACCATAATTCTTACAACTAAACTGAATTATACGACAACCAAGAATACTAAACTAAGCAAGTGTCATAGTTATTTAAAACAATTAGTCCCTTTGATAAATTTCGATAATGATATTAGAAGACAAAGATTATCAGAACTATGTAGTTCTGATAATCTTCGTCTTCTAATATCATTATCGAAAGTCATAGTTATTGTTTCATTTGCACAGACATGTTGCTCAAAGTAGTTAAATGGACATAATTAAGCCGATAAAACCAAAACACGAAATATAGGCCAGTTGAACTTACCTAACAGAAGACAAAGGATATATATATATATTGCTTTAAGACTGAAGACAACAGTCATTTGTTCATAAAAACATAGTTTACAGTACAACAAACCTTTCTTCAGTAACATTATGCACTGATGGTCCATCTGGAAACAATCAACTATGTGATTAAACTCACTGACTTGGGATAACATCTCAGCGTGCAGTGAGCGTACAGTGTAACGCAGTCTGACGTGGAGAATAAAAATTAAAAACGGAGCAAAAGTGACTACATAATCTAGTTATTTAATTAAAAATACATTATGAAATGACAAAATCTGTGGTTGCTTGAACGCACAGATGATCCTGTGCGATACATTAAGTTTACATGGTTGCGTTGCGGATAAGTTCACCCTGTAACCAAACAACTATATCCGTTTTCGTACTATTGATATAGAGAAACAACAGATATTGAATATAAGTGTGTTTACACATAGAGTGTGACGTTACAGAAATCAGCGAATATACGTGTCACAACAAAGTTAAATGACTTCCAAGTAACCCCAGTGATTAAAGAGAATTTAGAATGTCTAAAACTGGGGTTTGCAAAACTATAGAGGGGCCCAGAACGTAGGGATTAGATCAGACCGTGCACATGTTTTATCAAACAACAATACTAGTACTAATACACATATGATTCATCCTAGCTTTTGAACAGACTTTAATAACTCAGAGAGCATGTGAAATATATCAATTCAAAATTCGTTCCATTACTTAGCTTGTTCCATTCTATTATTCGCTGGAGCGAACTAAGTCGATAATATAAACAATGGTTGGCAGGATGCATATTTCCTTAACATCATCATACGATCAATTTAAAGTTAAATCACTGGGCCACAAAAGTTTCAAATCAGTTTGTCCCAAGTTCACTTTGGCCACCAGCTGTGTGGACTCCATAAAACAGGTACTAACTCTCTACAATCGACTTCCAAAAACATTATTATTGAGCGAAAGTGGTTTAACCACCGTCGACGAATGGTTTAAATTACTTAGAGACACTTTCATCAAGTCTATCAGTCGGCTTATCTCTCTGTGACTAGTACCAAACCTCGACGGAGTTCCTTTTAGTCGAAGCCTTTCTTTCTTGAAATAATTCGGAATTACCGTTCATTTTTGGATAAACAGCGTCTTCCCCGTGATAACGGGAAACATAGAAAAAGGGTAAGGGCTAGATCATGGATATCATTCTTTCAGGTTTCTGGGGTGCCAAAACATGTGTAGCACCTTCATATAGCTAAGAAACGTCTTTTGTTCCCTTAAAAGTGGACTTCAATGAACGAAAATTAGCTACTTCTGCCTATCAAAGTTTGAAGTTTGACTAGGTCACGACCTATCCAACCATGCGGGATTTCGACCGGGCGCCATTTCGTTTGTTGCAATGCAGTTTACAACGTTGGTATTTTTGATTCAGCTATGGATATGTGTTTCTAGTCATGGTCATGATCATGTTCATAGTCATGATCCACCCCACTATAAGTATTCTAAGGAAGCTAATATTGGGTAATTGAGTCTGTTTTGTTTGCGTTTTATTGTGAACTTTATTTGGTGTTTGAACGAATAATTATTCACTTATTTGTAAATGATGTTTCCAACATTTTTACCTGACCATTTTTCACCAAGTTATCTTTACGCTTTCGAATTAGTAAGCTGTGAAGATTCTATTTCATTCTCATTTCGAATGGATATTGGTAAAGGCAAAATTTTCGCATACTTAGTTTCAGTACTCCAGGAAGGTATTAAAGTGAGCGCGGATCAAATTGAAAAACAAAAATAATCCGAGTTAGTTCGTGCCACTGTATCGTATCTATAGATTGATAGTGAATATTTCTAATTAGTTACGATGACTCGATCTATCTACATGGGAAGCAAATTCCTGGATGTGACTAATTATAAGAAACTGAGCATAAGATCGGTAGTATAAAGACCATGAATAAAGATTGCCAATCATCTTTCAATCTTAAACCTCAAAGCACTTGTAGCGGTTATTCACTGAATATACTTCTACATACCAATGCTTTTGTACATTGTAATTGTAATATCCAGTAAAACCACTGAGAAAAGAATGTGGTCTGTGCATTGATGGATATTTGTTAATAATGGGGTGCATCCCAGGTTCCTCGTTCCTTATCGCACTGTAGGAGGACAAAATGCACCAGACAGCTGTATTTTTTCATATTCCTAACATCAATAAAGAGGTGAACACCTTATCAAACCGCAAGCTGAGAATTTTGGGGTTTATTATTGCCACCACAACAAGTACCATATTGATAGTAAGCAAATGTGACTGATTTTATGCCATAACTATTCGTTTAAACGATATTTTAGAACTAATTAAAACTTGAATTCGACGTATTTGTTACTTAATTATTACAGAAATGTCATAAAGTCTCAAGGCGCTCTTCGTTGTCGAAATAAGATCTTTGTTAACTACTAGGTATCGAAAGATCATTTGTGTGACATTTCCTAAAGTCCTATTGATCTGGAACATAGTGACCAAGATAATGTCACCTACATAATAGACGTAAATGTAACTGGTCTGATATAGATATCATTATGATTCCATTAATCGCTATAAAGCAAGCATAAAACTCGACCTGGGTGCGCTACATTAATTCGATTTGTAATCGTTTTCAAGGTCATAGCGTAATAGTAAATGGGTCGAAGTAATTTTCAAGAGCCATGCATCATTTTCTTTAATGTTTGGGGGTCTCGTATTTGATGCTGACATGACACATCTGGCTGTTACAAAACAGGTTCTCAAACCAAAATCTAACTTGGCATCAAGAATAAACAAAAATTTATGTAACACTGACATTGTTGTGGTGTATAAAGTAATCATAGACTTGGTGACCATAAATTTTATTACTTATATAGTGAACGAAAACTCTGGAGAAGACGTTTAACGTCCCGGGTGCAGTATGGACATCAGACCTAGATGGCCCAGCACGTCGACAGAGCTACGATCGGCGTGCCGGCTGGCTCGCCATTTCGACGGGAAGCAAGGCACGGACCAAGAAAGCGACACAGCGGGTAGAACAACTGCGAGAGCGACTTTTCGAAGTGGAGGGGGACAAGTGTGGTGCTTGCTACTCTTGCGGATAGAGTAATTTTGCGTAAAACAATAAATTGTTTCACCTTACCTGAGTTTTCGTTCACTACACTTGCACCAAAGGATAGATATTAGCCTTTCAATTGTAGACCAAGTACACTATGACGTACTCTATGCTAACGAAATTATTTTTAATCATATATTTACTTGTACTTCACGATATGTAACTGACAGTAGTCATGTTGGAGCAATTTATACTAACAGAAGAAGAACGTGCTCTGTACTTTTACGCATCTGTTTACATCACTCGTCTAAATTACAGAAATTGGATGCAAACAAACATGTAAAAGCTAGAATCTAATGTTCTGTTTTAGTGAACACGAACTAGTGGAGTCTGTACATTAGTAGACTTGGTAATTTACGTGATGTAGTGACATTTGTGATTGGGATTTACGAATGAAGTGGTTGCTTTTAGTGTTGAGTTCTGTGAGCTAGCTGATTTAATTGTAGATCCTTCAATGTCGTTCTATAGAGGATCATCGGCTTCCACTAAATACAGGAATGACGTTTACTTTCATCCTGATGGCCTTGTTTGTAACCTATTATCTTTGTAAGTTCGGTTGTCTTCATTTGTCCACGTATTCCTGATTGTCTTGTTCATTTGACTTTTAACTATTTAATTGATTGATTTTTTCGGATAAGCTGATAGGTCGAATCGGTGTCAGTATGCTTGTTGGTTGCCAAACCGTTTAACTGGCATATCACTAGGAATTCTAAGACACCTAGAATTCCCTCACTCTAAAATTTTGACACATTTCCAATCGAATTCGTATTCGTGGTTATCCACGTGTATTTATATCCCTGATCAAGTGTCGTTTTATTAGTATTCTGTATTCGTGTATGGATAGGTGAAGAGAGCATCCATTCTCTTAACTGTATTTCTCACAGTTGGTATAATTTCTGTTGACCATGCTGTACTTATCTTCTCTCGCTGTTGTATCTTAAGATTAAATGTAGTGAAAAGATTGCACTGATTTGTAGAAGACATTTATTTTAGAATCCTGCAAAATTCTCTTAGTAATTTCTGAGATGTTTTTTACATATTTCAGGACGATTCGTTTCCTGGTTCATGAGGTTAATTTTACTGTGTTCAGTCGATTCGATAGGCATCTTTTGACAGTCACTAAGCGAACCACGTTTTGTATGAGACAAAATGAGTTTCTTTATTTTTCTGCTTAATTATAGTACTGGAGTAGGTTTTGGCTCTTTTGAATGGTACTTGTACTCTGCTTGTTACTGTTGTAATTTAGTATTTTATCTGTGTGACTTAGCTTCCTGTGATCTGAGAATACACTCCTTGTATGTGTTTTTTTCTAGGTATAAGGAAAATCACGTACGGGAAACACGTAAAGATTCCTCTGAGCAACTGTGGGTCGAAGTATTCGGAGCTGTGTTACTCATTAGTATCGCTCCTTTTATTATATTGTGCCTGATGCCAGATTTGAACAAACACCGTGGCTTCCTCAAGGTCCTTCTCGCATTTGCAGCTGGTGGTTTACTGGGAGATGCATTTCTTCACTTAATTCCTCATGCATTGGAGAGTGGACATTCTAATCCTGACCACGCTCACGAGGGAAATACTAGAGATGGACATGGTCACAAGCGTCACTCCTACGTTGGGCTTTATGTTGTTGGTGGAATTTTCGTGTTCTTGTGCGTCGAAAAATGTATCCGACTTTTTAGAAATGAACATTGTGGAGGCCATACTCATCATGCAGTGTCTAATGTTGACGGTGAAAATAAAGGAAAGAATAAGAAAAAAGGGGAAGATACCAAAAGTGGAGCTAAAACTAAACGTAAGCTATGCATAGAATTACATATTAAGTCATCAGGGTTAAGGTATCCATTGTAATTATTTAAGTAACTGCATTACTTTTGAATAGAAAAGAGAATCATCATCTAACGTAAGTAAATTTGTTAGTTGAAAATAGTATGAAGAAGCGAAACTTTCGCCTCTTACAAATTATCAATAATTATCAATAATAATAATTAACAATAATTACCATTAAGACTGATATATAAATTATGATGCCTGACTAATCACATGTTCCTCAACTGAGTTGTTTCTGAAAAAAACCTTTCAGCGACAGTTAATAGAACAGTTTTAAAATGTGTATTATTTCAAGGAAACCCGCTACAATCTCTTGTCATCAGTTGTTTAAAGATCAAATTGAATTATGAAATATTTTCGATAATATAATGGATACTTATAATTAGATTTTGTTGTATTAAAACATCTTAATCGTCGACTGAAGTGAAATTATACAAACTTTTTAGTTCTCATTCTTTTTTAACAGCTACAGACTTCAAAGTTTCTGGATATCTTAACTTGGCAGCAGATTTTACGCACAATTTTACTGATGGGTTAGCTATTGGTAAGTTTTACTTCTGTTACTTATTTACACTGTAATTGATGTCCCATTAAACTACGTATTTATTTGGTATTTTGGAACTATCTATATCTGATGAGCCAAGACTATTTTTTACTAAAGCAGTTGAGTATAGCTGTTGATGTATTGCTGACTATAGAGTCTTTCATTTGCTACAAACCAGCGAGATGTCCTCCTGTCTATCATTGATAGGTGAGTTTATTGTACAATACTTGTCTGTTTAACGTACTCTATGGAACTATTACTTAATCATATGCGTATGGTGGAGTCATCAAGTGAGTTATTACAAAAGTCAGGTATCACATATTAACATTAAGTTAATGAGGCTCCAAATCTTCATTGACTGTGTGGGTTGAAGAATGTGTCATGGATCCTTAATCAGCACATACCTCGTCATACTATGTTAGCTGGCAAAATAGTATGCCAGAAAAATACTAGAGGTTACCTAATCAAAATTTACATCATTCCAAACTGTTGATCTGTGTGATGATGGTAAGTGCTTGTTTCCTGGTTAAATTCTGCGTGTTAATTGTAATCAGTGACTAGAGACGGGTGATTGAGTTTAAAATCAGCCACACTAACGGAGGTGCGCTTGTTATGGATTTTCCTCTAGATTAAATTCATTAAGTTAACTCGTTCACCGGTTGCTTGAGTATGAGCCACATTCTAAATGTGAGGGCCAATTATGCTTCCTGGTTGCCCAAGCCAGAGTAGGTGGAATGGTGTTAGAACCACGGACTCAATGGCTGAAAATTGAATACCTTTACCACTAGAGCATTGCTCCTCTAATAGAAAGGACTATTGGGATATCCTCGTATATGTCTTACCTTTGGACGATATTTGTTGCCTATTTTTCTGAACAGTTAGTCCCATTTATGAATTTGGATATGTGGTGAGAAGGTGGAGGTTATCAAAATTATGTGATATATTTGCGCAATACATTTTGAACAATCCGATCACACATATACTTGTTAAGACATTATACATTTGGAAATGGGTTTATTAGACAAATTCAAAGGTAAGTGGAAACAAAGGTAATAATAAAGTACACAAAAACAATGCGAAAACCATACTGTATAATAAATCAGTATCAGTTAAGAACAAGTTGTTTTTGAACACATGAAGGGGGTCTGAGTTTCCGTATAAATGAGGCTTCAAAAAACCTTAGTATATGCCCTTGAGAACGTTTTGCTGAACTACAAAAGCTGACTTGATATAAACCTTATGACCGGCCTCAACTAAATGTTTCCCAATAGAGGAAGATATTTGTCTACTCTGTGATCTTATTTGACCATTGGAATTCATTTGTTTTTGTTGTCATTTAGGTATGTGTTCAACCACTCTTACTTGAAGCTCACAATTGCTCCTCCCTATGTACGTGTTTCCGCACATACATCTAAATTGATAGACTTGTTTTTTGTTACTTTGCTGCCAACTTATTGACTTCAAAACTAATGACATTCAAATTTTTTAATATCACATATTTTCATTGTGATGTAGTGTCTTCTTTGTTAACTATTGTTGCCGTATCTCACCAAAAGAAACTGCAGCTTCACATTAGTTCTTACGAATTTACAAAGCGGTTAATTATATATATCACTAATTACACTTTACAATCTTGTTAAATATTTGCTTGAAGCTTCGTCGTTTGAAAGATCCTTCAGTTCAGATTTAAGTGGTTGTACTGAATTAAAAATTTTTTTCTATACATTTTTAGGTGGATCCTTTCTGGTTAGTAGAAATGTTGGTTTTCTGACCACTTTTACGGTTCTGTTACATGAACTTCCGCATGAGATTGGAGACTATGCAATACTTATACAATCCGGATTTTCTTCACGCAAAGTAAGTTTTAGTAAAGCGTTGTGATGTGGAATTGTATACACTCACTTTCGTTATCAGATTTAAGTTGAAAAGTATTGGCGAATCGAGCGAAACTGTGTGCTTTGAAATATATTTCATGTGGTATTCATCATTTGACTAGACTTGAGTTAATGAGTTTGGCTCTCAGCCATTCAGTCTCTATTTCAAACCACTCTGCATCTACTTCGATTTATGCGACTGGGTGTCATTATTAGCCCTCATAATTAGGGTGTAGTTTATACCCAAATATCTGATAAGTTAGAACGGAGACATTTCCTGCTTGTTATAAATTAGCATCGAAACACGTTATGCTGATTCTTGTAAATCGGGTAATAAAAACACCGGTTGTTGCTTTTGCTAATTTTACTAAATGTTTTGTGATTCAGTGATGTGCGTATTACAGTAAGATATGTGCTATAAAGTTGGTGAATTTAAATCTTTCATTTAGAGGTGTGGAAATTGACCTAACCATTGTCAGGAAATGCAAGTATAGTGGAGTAAGAAGTGTAAATAAAAGATTGGGTAGATAGTACTTTCTCAAGTCTACTTAGCAGATCTTTAATATTTATGATAAACCATTACTAAAAGGACATTTACGACGCTTCAGAAACCTTCAGGTAACAACGTTGATGTCACTTACACTGGAATATACCCAAATAGGCATCGCCTTATACACCGGCGACTGGAAGGCAGGTACCTACAAAAGTTACATTCACCATGTTGTGATCCACAAAAGGAATTTCGTCAACCTTGGCACTAGAGTGCACACATATAGTATGGAAGCGATTTGGACAAGACTGAAAGAATTCATCAATTGTTGTTGAGTCACATCGGGGGATTTCTATGCCACATATATTATGATTCCAGAACATCAGAACCTAGCTGTAATCTTTAGAGGTCTTCTAACCACATTAAAGCCATGTATCCATTACAGTTCTTTCAACTTTCTTTAATGTATACCTGCTTTATATCACCTGTTATCTGACTGGCTGAAATTTCTCAAAGTCATTTAAGGTCTACTTAAACATCTCGTTACACATTTGTTTAGGCATTCAGCTCGTAATTATCGGGTTGCTAGTTGAAATCTCACTCGACCAGTTGTGTTCGAGTGAGAGCTTATGGCGAACTGTCATCAAAATTGATTACCTCAAGTGGTGTTCGTCAGGGCTGCCCACTATCTCCATTCTTGTTTAACTTTGTCATTGACGTACTTTTAGAGATGACACTTTCCTCATCTAGATTTCCAGGGGTTGAACTTCTACCAGGAGATTCACTTGTTGACTTGGAATATGCCGATGACATAGTTCTATTTGGTGAGGACGCTGACAAAATGCAGTCTTCTGACCATTATAAGCAACAATGCAAGCATGTTCGGCATGCGATTCTCCCCCCCGAAATGCAAAATTTTACTTCAGGATTGGGTTGCATCGACACCCGAACTAATGATAGGGAGTGAAGTAGTTGAGTGTGTCGACCGCTTCACTAATCTTGGGAGTCTCATCAGCCCTTGTGGTCTGGTGTGTGACGAAATCTCAGCACGGATACAGAAGGCTCGACTAGCTTTTGCCAACTTGCGTCATTTATGGCGTAGGCGGGATATCCGTCTATCAACCAAAGGATGGGTTTACTGCGCAGCAGTTCGTTCCGTCCTACTTTATAGCAGCGAAACGTGGCCGGTAAGAGTAGAGGATATTCGTAGGTTATTATTATTTGATCACAGGTGTCTTCGAAACATTGCTTGTATTTCCTGGGACCATCGAGTAAGTAACGCAGTTGTTAGGAAACGGGTACTAGGTAAGGATGGCAAATCGATTGATGAAGTAGTGAGGCTTCATCAGTTGAGATGGCTGGGACACGTGTTACGTATGCCCAACGACCGACTACCTCGACGTGCTATGTTCAGTGGTATAGGAGTAGGTTGGAAGAAAGCTAGAGGCGGCCAAACCAAAACATGGCACAAGTCCATGAAGTCACTGACAAGTGGACTGAGTCATGTTGGTAGGTGTAGACTACCTGGTTGGGGACCGCGAGACGATAGCAACCGATGGTTAGAGACCCTGAATGATATGGCTCAAAATCGTTTGCAATGGCGCAGGTGCATACACTCTTTGTGTTCTCCCAAATCCTAATTTCATGAATCCTCCTTGTCTCGTTTTTTCTCTTTCCAAATTTATTTCACTGTACTATACTCTTTAAATAACATCTTTAAACCCTAATCTTTCCGATTACTGCTTATACTCTTACCACCTCTACCACTATGGGATTTGAATCGACAATTGTATCTCTGAGCTAATGTGGTTTGGCAACTCGAACTGATGTACGTACGTACGAAGTTCTACGTTGTTACTGACTGACTGAAATCTCATCCTACCAAAAGCGTAGCGCACACTGTGATTAGTGAGTTGTTTTTGGTTCAATCAACGTCATGCCTTCTGTTGAAAATGTATGCATATCACAAAAATATTTTGTTTCACCAATAAAAAACCATGCTCCAAGATCATTGTGAACACTTACTTTAGGGTGTGTGAATTTATACACCTTTCTAAAACGAAAATGTTTTCATAGTCCGATGGAATTTCAGACACCTAGGGAGTTGGTTTTGCCTTAAATAAACTTAGTATGCTAAATAATGTAAAATGTAATTCAGTAGTCTGGTACAGGGCGTCATTAGTTTGTGGCAACACAAACCGATGCACATAACTTACTAATTGATTAGTCTATGAGTCATATTTGTTATCTGAATCGCACTAGTAACTGATTATGTAAATTTTGAGGGGAGTAAAATGTAACACATGCTTATCATTCTAATATATAACTATGATAATACCTAAAGTAATACATCTGTTTATGATCACCTATAACATAATTTAGGATTGCACTAGCCAGTAAGTATCTGGTCGCATTAGTGCGATGGAGTTTGAAACGAAAAGTACTGGGTCCGAGTGTTGGAGTAAACATCGACTCTGGGATGCAGCTACATTTAGCTGACGAGTCCCTGATAAGATGGAACGCTCGACCTGGGATTCACTGCCAGTCACTATCCATCTCGGCTTATAATTTAGAAGAACTTCTTTCCGAATTTATTTTAGTTCTTGAATTTTAGAAGAGCGTTTTTATTAAAATCATTTAATTAATTCTTATGTTATTATTATTTTTTTTTATTATTAATAATGGCTTTATTCAACATTATATTTTGGTACAATATTGACTTCTCAGCACAAACATCCTCACTTTTAATATGGATTTTGTTCGTTACCTATTATCTAGGCTATGCTTCTTCAATTGATCACTGCTATTGGTGCACTTCTGGGTTCATCTGTTAGCTTACTTGCTGCACGTGTTAGTATTGGTCCTATTGTTTTTGATGCTAATATACTACCAGTTGTAACAGATGATGTTGTTATTGGTTGCATTTTACCATTTACTGCCGGTGGTTTTATCTACATAGCTATGACTTCTGTGCTACCTGACCTGTTGGCAACTAATAACAACACCGGTACTACTACAAATACACCAAAAACACGAAACAATGGATTAAAATCATTCGTCCAAAGTCTACTTGAAATAATTTCTTTAATTAGCGGCGTTGCAATGATGGCTGCTATCGGAACACTGGAATAAAGATGTAAACAAGTATATTTTGTGTCTGTAGAGAAAAAAAAACAAACTAGGTTGATATGACAAATGTAGTATAGTTTATTTTTTCTGTTTATGCATACTGGTACTTTTTGCTGCAATCTAGTCCCCTCGTATCCTGTTTTTCTTTCTCGTTTGTTTGTTCATATCTCATAAAATCTACTTTTAAGTGAAGCAAAGAAATTCAAAGTAAAAAGCATTTTCAGAGTACAAACGTACTATTTGAAGAAAATTACAATTCATTTGCTCGCATACTTTCTGTCTCCCTTCGTATACTTTTTTCTTTGTTGTTAATTATGTTGTTGTTTTCTTCAGTTAAGTTTGATCTTGTTCCAATGATTTTCATTTTTTATCATGATTTAGTAATACTTTCATTGTACTATTTATTGTTGTAAAATGATTAATTTTGGTGGAGTTTTGTTCTCTGAGCTGGATGGACAACCAAACCATCCAGCTCAGAGAACAAAACTTCACCAAAATCATCCACCTGAGCAACAAATCTTCACCATCTCAAAATGATTAATATATTTGTATAGTTTTCTTATATATTTTTATCTTGTTGGTTGAATGGTTCTAAATGATTCTTTCTCTTTTTTTGATATTGTTATCGTTCTTATCATAGAACTTGATTATCCAAAAAGAAAAGAAACTTTTTAAGTGAACCAAAACTTTACATTTCTATCATCGATTTTCTTCTTATTATTACTATTTGGTATGGTATATTTGTATTTTGTATTTAATAACAAACGAAAGCAGTTTATTACGTAATCACAATTGTACATCGATCAGAACTTCCCTTTTGTGTTTGTGCGTTTTTTAAATTATCCATAACTTTGTATTAGTTTGTTCATTTAATTTGTTTTTCTCTTCACCGGTATGTTTGACTTATTATTTTGGTAAAGTGATTTTGTTTTTCTACTAACTGTTGCAGTTGGATGGAGGAAAGATTATTGTTCAATATGGTACATAATTGCTTTATTTATTAATTTCAAACATTGGGCCTGAACCGGCAGTTATGAATTTCATAGTTTGGTGGTGTGTTTTGAGTATATAATTCCAAAGGTTCTTTCACTGGGCATCAAGGTTGGTGATGTGTGGGTATGAAACAACGGCTTATCGACTTTCAATCGGACATTCAACATAATCACAGGCCTGTATCGTATTGCTATTTAATCATGAAGAAATGTCGACCCTAAAAGTGTCATACCTCACCTTACCCCACAGGTTTCTGTCTCCGGCGTTAAGGCTTTTGAAGTGTGGAGCTAAAACATCAGGAACTTCCTATAAAAAAGCCGTGCGCGACCAGCCTGAAACAGTTGTCCCTTGGGCTCTGCAGTCAAGCTCCTAGGCTGCTAAGGCTACTACTAATTCAGATTCCGTTCTAGGTCCCAAAAGAAGAGATATTTTTCTGCGGTGTTAGCAACCGGGATGTACCAACCAGTCTCATACCTCCTTCAGCACCAGAGATCATCTTGTTGACGATCGAGTCCTCGCTCATTTCTTAATGATTCTGCCATCCTCACGAATAGCCCTTCTAATTTACCTTTATCTTTACGCACCAATAATGCTGGTGATTTGAGTTCACGAAGTGTTATACCTGTTCTCCTGAAACCACGCTCTAAACTACATGTTAGGGCTTTTAGTGTTCGAACATTGCGTCGGATAGGAAAACAATCTTCTTTAGCTAGAACTTTAGAATCTCACAAGTTGGATGTGTGCTTCGTCACCGTAACCCACATACAGGGCCCAATTATCGTCATTCATCTGACTTTGTCGATTTATTCTTCATGTATCTGGAGACCCCACTGCTACTTCCCATAACCTCACTAGTGTAAGTGAAGCGCTAACTTCGAAAGCTGGATTCCAATAAATAGTTACTTGTGCTCTGCCTGACTAGACGGACGGTAAGAGCTTGAAAAGTTAGTGACACGCCATTGCCTTTTCGTTATCTCTGCATGCGCTCCCACTGATTGCAGATGGTAGGATGTTAAATGTTATAGAAAGCTATATATAAGAAGGGACAGAGATCCTCTTGGTGATGATCACGGAGATCATTTTTCCAACATGGTTTCTAAAATATTCGTCTCAATTATATTTCGATGTCTAGCTAGAAGTCGTTAAGAGCGAACCCGAGAAAACCAGGCTGGTTTCAGACCTGGACTTGGATGTATAGGCCAACTATTCACCCTTCGGCAGATTCTGGAACATACACTTCTCGACATTCTGCTATAGTCCTGTTCTTTGAACTTAAGACAGCATTCAACTCTGTTGATTGTGAGGTTCTGTGGCAGTGTCTCATTGAAAGATGTACCAAATAAATGCATTTATCTTGTTCAGGCTCTCTACTCGATCACTTCCGGCCGAATCAGAGCTTGTAGCGAACTGTCGTCGGAACTGGTTACTTCAGGTGGTTCTCATCACGGTTGTCTGCTGCTTCCGTTTTTATTTAACTTGGATATGGACGTACTTTTAGAGATAATGCTTTCATCGTCTGACTTTTCACGAGTTGATCTTCTACCGGAAGATTCACTTGTTGACTCAGAATATATAGGTGATATAGTTTTGTGTGGTGAAGACGCCGATAAAATTCAATCTTCTGACCACCTTAAGGAACAATGAAAGCATTTTTGTGATGCGGTTCTCTCCCTCCAAATGTAAAATGTTACTTCAGGATTGGCTTGGATCATTGCCTGAATTAGTGATAGGGAGTGAAGTAGTTGAACTCACTTCACTTATGAGCGTCTAAACAGTACTGATGGTATGGTGCCTGACAAAATCGCGGCACAGATCCAGAAGGCTCGACTCGCTTTTGTCAGCTCGTGTCCCATGTGGCGTGGGGAAGATGTCCGTCTGTCAACCAAAGGGCAAGTTTACTGAGAAACAGTTCGCTCCGTTTTACTCGACGGATATGAAACGGCCATTAAAAGTAGGGGATATTCGTTGGTTACTGATAAGTGATCATAGGTTTCTACGAAGCATTGCTCGTGTATTTTGGGACCACGGAGTAAGCAATACCTGGGTTAAGGATAGAGTACTTAGTAAAGATGAATAGTCAGTAGATGAGATAGTAAATTATCATCATATTCCCGCTCACCACCTACCTTGACGGGTGATGTTTCCTAGTTATAATTTGAAATATGAGTATATAGCAACTATCCTATAACTAATTTCGATTATGGTTAAGTTTGGTTAAACCCTTTTATTAACTTACTTAATAGACAATGTTATTTGAATAATAACAATTCATCTATTTCTTTGTACTATTAAAATCACTAGATCACATGACAGACTCTAGATAAAATGTTAGTTACTTAAATATCACTCGGTGAATATATATGTACTCAAATCCAATTATTAGTCCTTACTTTGTTTTACTGCGCCCTTATGCAATTTGACTATAAATTTACCTATGTAATCATTCGTATATACTTGTTTACCTCTCCTTAAACTGCGAAATCGTACATGGAGGACAACATATTTACAACCGAAGAATATCTGGAACTCAAAACAACAGTCCACAAGCCAACAAAAAGCCATAATTTACAATACAAATGTCAAGACAGTTCTACTGTATTGGGCGGAAATCTGGAGAACTACGAAAGCCATCATTCAGAAAATACAAGTGTTTGTTAACAGTTGTCTACGCAAAATACTTCAGATCCGTTGGCCGGACACTATTAGCAACAACCAATTGTGGGAAAGAACAAACCAGATTCCGGCGGAGGAAGAAATCAGGAAGAAGCGTTGGAAGTGGATAGGACACACATTGAGGAAAGCACCCAACTGTGTCATAAGACAAACCCTCACATGGAATCCTCAAGGTCAAAGGAAAAGAGGAAGAACAAAGAACACATTACGCTGGGAAATGGAGATAGACATGAGAAAAATGAACAAGAATTGGATGGAATTAGAAAAGAAGGCCCAGGACAGAGTGGGTTGGAGAATGCTGGTCGTCGGCCTATGCTCCATTAGGAGTAACAGGCGTAAGTAAGTAAGTAAGTAAGTAAGTAAGTAAGTAAGTAAGTAAGTAAGTAAGTAAGTAAGTAAGTAAGTAAGTAAGTAAGTAAGTAAGTAAGTAAGTAAGTAAGTAAGTAAGTAAGTAAGTAAGTAAGTAAGTAAGTAAGTAAGTAAGTAAGTAAGTAAGTAAGTAAGTAAGTAAGTAAGTAAGTAAGTAAGTAAGTAAGTAAGTAAGTAAGTAAGTAAGTAAGTAAGTAAGTAAGTAAGTAAGTAAGTAAGTAAGTAAGTAAGTAAGTAAGTAAGTAAGTAAGTAAGTAAGTAAGTAAGTAAGTAAGTAAGTAAGTAAGTAAGTAAGTAAGTAAGTAAGTAAGTAAGTAAGTAAGTAAGTAAGTAAGTAAGTAAGTAAGTAAGTAAGTAAGTAAGTAAGTAAGTAAGTAAGTAAGTAAGTAAGTAAGTAAGTAAGTAAGTAAGTAAGTAAGTAAGTAAGTAAGTAAGTAAGTAAGTAAGTAAGTAAGTAAGTAAGTAAGTAAGTAAGTAAGTAAGTAAGTAAGTAAGTAAGTAAGTAAGTAAGTAAGTAAGTAAGTAAGTAAGTAAGTAAGTAAGTAAGTAAGTAAGTAAGTAAGTAAGTAAGTAAGTAAGTAAGTAAGTAAGTAAGTAAGTAAGTAAGTAAGTAAGTAAGTAAGTAAGTAAGTAAGTAAGTAAGTAAGTAAGTAAGTAAGTAAGTAAGTAAGTAAGTAAGTAAGTAAGTAAGTAAGTAAGTAAGTAAGTAAGTAAGTAAGTAAGTAAGTAAGTAAGTAAGTAAGTAAGTAAGTAAGTAAGTAAGTAAGTAAGTAAGTAAGTAAGTAAGTAAGTAAGTAAGTAAGTAAGTAAGTAAGTAAGTAAGTAAGTAAGTAAGTAAGTAAGTAAGTAAGTAAGTAAGTAAGTAAGTAAGTAAGTAAGTAAGTAAGTAAGTAAGTAAGTAAGTAAGTAAGTAAGTAAGTAAGTAAGTAAGTAAGTAAGTAAGTAAGTAAGTAAGTAAGTAAGTAAGTAAGTAAGTAAGTAAGTAAGTAAGTAAGTAAGTAAGTAAGTAAGTAAGTAAGTAAGTAAGTAAGTAAGTAAGTAAGTAAGTAAGTAAGTAAGTAAGTAAGTAAGTAAGTAAGTAAGTAAGTAAGTAAGTAAGTAAGTAAGTAAGTAAGTAAGTAAGTAAGTAAGTAAGTAAGTAAGTAAGTAAGTAAGTAAGTAAGTAAGTAAGTAAGTAAGTAAGTAAGTAAGTAAGTAAGTAAGTAAGTAAGTAAGTAAGTAAGTAAGTAAGTAAGTAAGTAAGTAAGTAAGTAAGTAAGTAAGTAAGTAAGTAAGTAAGTAAGTAAGTAAGTAAGTAAGTAAGTAAGTAAGTAAGTAAGTAAGTAAGTAAGTAAGTAAGTAAGTAAGTAAGTAAGTAAGTAAGTAAGTAAGTAAGTAAGTAAGTAAGTAAGTAAGTAAGTAAGTAAGTAAGTAAGTAAGTAAGTAAGTAAGTAAGTAAGTAAGTAAGTAAGTAAGTAAGTAAGTAAGTAAGTAAGTAAGTAAGTAAGTAAGTAAGTAAGTAAGTAAGTAAGTAAGTAAGTAAGTAAGTAAGTAAGTAAGTAAGTAAGTAAGTAAGTAAGTAAGTAAGTAAGTAAGTAAGTAAGTAAGTAAGTAAGTAAGTAAGTAAGTAAGTAAGTAAGTAAGTAAGTAAGTAAGTAAGTAAGTAAGTAAGTAAGTAAGTAAGTAAGTAAGTAAGTAAGTAAGTAAGTAAGTAAGTAAGTAAGTAAGTAAGTAAGTAAGTAAGTAAGTAAGTAAGTAAGTAAGTAAGTAAGTAAGTAAGTAAGTAAGTAAGTAAGTAAGTAAGTAAGTAAGTAAGTAAGTAAGTAAGTAAGTAAGTAAGTAAGTAAGTAAGTAAGTAAGTAAGTAAGTAAGTAAGTAAGTAAGTAAGTAAGTAAGTAAGTAAGTAAGTAAGTAAGTAAGTAAGTAAGTAAGTAAGTAAGTAAGTAAGTAAGTAAGTAAGTAAGTAAGTAAGTAAGTAAGTAAGTAAGTAAGTAAGTAAGTAAGTAA